AAATGAGGGGACCAGTAGTTGGCATAATGGCTATGTCGCTGGACTCCCATGTAGTTGACCACAGCTCAAGTCCCTAACCTGGTGACTTAAACTCACCCTGGCCGCATGTGCGTGTGTGCCCAAGTTTCCAAGAGGAGAATGGAGGAGAAGGGATTGTGGCGTGGCCATCCCTCCTGGGGGGTGGTGGTGGTGATTTCTTGCTTTCTGTCTCTCTCTGTCTTTCTGGCGAGCACATGCACACTATAGCAAAAATCTCTCTCTCAAAAAAAAAAAGGAAAAGCAGGGTAATGTCAGGTTGGTAGAGTTATGGAAATGCAGGCAGCTTTACATACTATTGGTGGACGTGTGGATGAGTGCAGCATTTCTGGAGCGAGTCTATCAGTATTTAATTAAACCACGTTTACACATCCTTCTGGTGCAGAAATTCCATTCTAAGGTATATATCCAAAGAAAGTCTCGTGGAGATCTATAGGAGAAACGTGCACTCTCACTGCAGCATCATTGGGTTGTCAGGGAGTTGGAGACAATCTGAGTTTCCATCACCAGACACAATGTGAGGCAGATGCACTTGCAGAGAGGTACTGGGTACTAGGTAGAAACCAATATGTTAAACCAACCATAATATTTATTCTCTCGTTGTCTTGTCTTTTTTTATTTTTATTTTTTCTGCCTTCTTTGGATTGAGTATTGGTCATCATTCCATTTTTATCTCCTCTGTTGGCTTATTAGCTATAACTGTTGTGTTGTCCTAAGAGGAAGAAATTGAGGCAGAATATATAAGAAAAAGAGTTTATTTAGACTAAGGTTGAGGACTACAGTGTATGTTTCAGACTATCTAAGTTGTCCTATATATGTGCACTGAAGTTTTAAAGATTTCAGAATGATCTTAAGAACAAAAATTATAAATGAGGGGCTGGCAGGTGGCATGGTGGCTAAGGGAACTGGAGTCTCATATGGCTGGACATGGTTCGAGTACCAGACCTGGCAGCTTGCTTTCTCACACATCCCACCTCTATCCCTCTCTGATCAAATTAAAATAAATCATTCTTTAAGGGACCAGCAGGTGGCATGGTGGATAAAGATACTGAATTCCCACATGGCCAACCACAGTTCAAGTGCCAGACCTGGTGGCTTGTTTTCTTGCTTTCCTTTTCTTTCTCTGTCTCTGTCTGGTCAAATTAAAAAATGATAATAACAAATGGAATTAAATAAATAAATCTTTTAAAATAAATAAATAAAAGTAATAAAATAATAATTACAAAATAAATTATTTTAAAAATCATAAATGGGGAAGAAAGTTATAGCATTGTTTGTGAAAACTTTACATTGACCAAAAGGTTATAGAAATGTTGCATACAATGGTGATTGGCTAAGTATTATAAGAGGAGCAAGATGTCTGATGACCCAATAATTGAAGGAAAAAGAAAAACAAAAACCAAAAAACGGAATATCTTCATGGTCATTTGGGGTCAGCTTGTTTGATCTTAAATGTAGAGACAGTGAGTCCAACTTATTGCTAACTATAAATATTTTGAAGGTTACAGCTAGTATATGTGACTAGAGTCCCTGATTTCCACGTTCCTGGGCCTGATTCCTCCTTTCTTTCCTCCCTCCCTCTTTCTCTCTCTCTTTCTTTTTTTTCTTTTTTCTTTTTTTTTGGAGAGGGTTTGTGCTATAGGGTGCATGCACTGGCCAAAAAGACAGAGAGAGACAGAGAGATGAAAGCGAGAAGTCACCCCCCGCCCCAGGGGGGATGGCCACACCGCAATCCCTTCTGCTCCATTCTCCTCTCGGGATCTTGGGCACACACACGCGCCCAGCGTGACTTTAAGCCACTGGGTCCAGGACTCAAACTGCAGTCGACTACGTGGGAGTCCAGCGACATAGCCATTATGCCAACTGCTGGTCCCTCCCCTACATTTTCTACTAGTTTGCAATTTTATAGTTTGAGGCTTTATATTGAAATCTTTGATTCATTTTGAGCTGATTCTTATTAATGGTAAGAGTTAGGGATCCAGTTTCACTTTTCTGCAGGTGGATATTCAGATCTTCCAGCACTATTTGCTGAAAAGACTCTTCTCCACTGCATTGTCTTGTCAAAGATCTGTTGGCCATATGATTTATGGTTTATTTCTGGATTTGGCATTCTGTTCCATTGGTCTTTGTGTCTATTTGTGTGCCAGTACCATGCTATTTTGATTATCGCCACTTTGTTATTTTAATGGTTGATTTAGGATTTATAATATAAGCTATACCTTATTATAGTCCACCGTCAAGTGCTATTATTCCAATTTGGGAATAATACAAAACCTTGCAATGGCAAACTTCCATTTCTCCCCTTCCACTCTTACTTTTTATTTTGTCATACATTTTACTTCGACATATGTTCTACATAAAACTGCATACTGCATGTTACTATGTTACTTAAAGAGCAAAAAAATTTTAAAAAAGAAAAATATGGACACATGTCATTAACATTTCTAGGGATTCTCATTGCTTTCTATAGAGTTGACTTTTAATCTATTCTAATGTTCCTTCCACTTGAAGGGCTTCCTTTAACATTTCTTGTAGTTTATGTTTCACTTCACACATTATAGTTTTCATATATAGATATTTACTATAATCACTCTTTTAATGTTTGCTCGAGTCTAATATTTGTGTCAGTTCTTGTTTGATTTCAGTTATGTGTATATATATTACATATATTTAATTATAAAGTTTTTTCATGAGAGTGAGAGAGGATGAGAGACAGAATTACAGAGACAGATAAGAGAGAGACAGTGGGGGAGAGAGAGAGTCAAGTACTCTCCAACAGGGTCCCTTGCTGACATACCCCCAGCCCTCCAGCCAGTTCTTCCATATAAAGCCCAGAATCTTCCATATAAAGCTAGCATCACCCAAGCCATGCATTACTGCTGTTCTACCAATCGGCCAATTAATTTATATTTTTGCCCTCATTGTGGGTCATATTTTCTTCTTTGTGTGCCAGGTAATTATATTTTTTAAATTAAATTTAAGTCATTGATATTGTGATCAGATCATTTGTATTTCTTCTTTCTTTCTTTCTTTTTTAGGTTGTTGCTTAGAGTGCTTACACTCATCTGAGAGATAGAGGGAAAATGAGAAATCACCCCAACCCCAAGGGGAATGCACTCCCTTCTCCTCCGTTCTCCTCTCAGGATTTTTGGGCACATATGCACATGCACCCAGCATGACTATAAAGGGACAGAGTTGGCAACAAATGTGGAACGTGCACTTTAGACTGTTCATAGGACAGATAAATTAATTCTGTCTCCTTGAAACCATACTGGAGGATACGTGGGCTACCTTGATAAACTAATGAAATGTCCCAAACAGAGATATTTATTCTTTTCTGCTGAACTCACCCTTCTAACAGACTGGAATAAATGGCAATTCCATTCTTCCAATTGCTTAGTCTGAAGTCCTTGGAAATATTCTGTACTCTAGCCCCTCCTGAATACAGAGCATCGAACTAGGCCTAGTGTTTGTGATTTAGCTTGGTAATTCCTATGCAGGGAGTGGGTCGGAGTTCTTGTCCTAAAAAATGTTCATACTCTTCAGCCAAAGACTACCAGGAACATATGTGTAGTTGAACAAACTGGGTTTACTTTTGCATCTGGGAAGGACATTCATCACGGGGAGCCTCTAGGCTTCTCAATAAAGAGAGTAGTAGGAAAAAACCTGTAGGATTTGGGGAGGTTCTAAGGAAGCTCTAGAGTGGGTACTGTGAGAAAGTAGTAGCAATTATATGATCAGATATATCAATAAATAGTATCTATAGGAATTAGATAGGAGTGGAAATGAGTATGATGATAAAACTATAAAGAAGCAACTGTTGGAACCAGCAGTTAGCGTAATGGCTATGTCACTGGACTCCCATGTAGTTGACTGCAGTTCGAGTCCCGGACCCGGTGGCTTAAAGTCACACCAGGCACTTGTGTGTGTATGCCCAAGTTCCCGAGAGAAGAATGGAGGAGAAGGGATTGTGGCGTGGCCATCCCCCCTGGGAGGGAATGTCTCGCTTGTCGCTCTGGTCCCCCTTTGTCTTCCCAACCCTAAAAAAAAACCCCCCAAAAAAAAAAAAAAAAAAAAAAAGCAGCTGTCACACATTTTACTCAAGAGCCGGGCATATTTGTGGATTGCACAATTATCTTGTTTTTATAATCTCAAAATAACTTTGTCTAATGTTGATGTTTTATGAGATTGTTTATGTCCAACAGAACGATCTGGCCTACCTGTGAGCAACAGGCCAGCTTGTAGTAATGTGGAGGCTTAGCTCTGAGAGTCCAGGATATCAGGGATTGAATTTTTTTACTTCTCAAGTAGGTGATGGTGCCTTATTTGCAACCATGGCATCAGTGCCTTTAACTGCAGGTGAGTGAGAGGGGCTGTCCTCAGATTCAGATTCATTCCAGATCAGCTTCTCCTCAGAGTGGCTGTACATCTTCAGCCTGTACCCCTGCCTGGCCATTGTGACACTTCCTACAGCCCTGCGTGGGAACTCAGATCTGTCCTCAGAAATATTTTGAACTGGTACCAGCCTCAGCAGCGTTTATCTTTTGGTGCCCTTACTGAAGGAGAATTAACCCTAGGATGGAGAAATTATGGGGCAAGTCTTATATTCTTACGGTATGTTAACAGTCTCATCAGATCACTAAGAAGTTGGTATATCAAAGGGCAGGCAGCATTCATAAAGACTTGGTGTAATGGACAGAGAATTACTATAGCAGAGAGAGAATCCTGAAACTCAGGAGATTCTGAGAAGCTAGACGAGGATTATGGGTGCAGGGCCAAGGAAGCCCCCTCTTTCACATACTGTCAACCCCACATCTCTCACCAACACAAAGACAAAACACATGACTGCAAGGCTAATCATTTATTAACCATGTAGAGGAAGGTGTTAGGTATGGTAGAGTTCCCCTGGCAAGGACGGCCAGAAGTTAAGAGAAAACCATTGATTCTCGGTGAACCGAGTCTTCCTAGGCAATTAAGGAAGAGCCTGAAGACGCAGGGACAATTCCTTCATGTGTGATAGTGATACAAATCAGGTCACAGAACTTGTCATTAAATGATGTAGTGACCAGGAAGGGAAGATGCTGGAATCCACGTGAGGAGACATCACTCAGCACTAAGTAAGAAGAAGAGAAAGAGAACACAAAAGTGTATTAATCACTCCTTGGATTGAACTCAGGAAGAGAAATACTATTACAGAGAGAAATGGTGCAGAAAAAAATCTCACCCTGCATTCTAACTTATGTTATTTTAACAGAATAGGGGGAGGAAGGGCACTTTGTTTTTTGATTGCCAATGTCATATTTTTTTCTTTTTTTAAAACATTATTTTGTTTAACTTTTTTTTTTATTTATTCATTTTAATTAGGCCAGCGAAGGACAGAGTAAGAAAGAGTGAGAGATAGGGAGAGTGAGAAAGCAGGCCTCTGGGTCCCGGACTTGAACTGCAGTTGGCCATGTGGGAGACCAGGGCCCTTAACTACCATACCACCTACCAATGCCATCTTAACCTTCCCCCAAATGAACCTCTGAAAAAGAGAAAAGAAGTAATGAAGGATTATAAGCTTGTTTCAACTATCTTCAGCATTAGACATTTTGAAGAATTTTTCACAAATTGAGGCATAATGGTAAAAGGCAACAGCATAGCTGCTTTTAATGAAATGCTTTCTGTGTGTAAGTTACTAAGACTTTTGTATGTATTATATAAAGCTCCCACTAAATCTGAGGTAGGGAACAGTTAATAAAACTCTGATCTGTTTCCCAGGTTGTCTGACAGGAATGTCAGACAGCTTCATTCCCAAACTGGAGGCCAAAAATGTGCAGAGTTTAAAAAAAAATTGTATTATTAATTGGAGGGTGAGGTGGTCTCCTGGGCTTAGATGGGCCACAAATACAGAAGCATACTGGAGCTTCATACTCACATCCTACTATTCCTTTTCCATTTCAGACTTTGTCTTTATGATTTTTAGCACATTACCAATTACTAAGTACTTTTCAGCATCATTATATCCACACAACAACTCTGTAGGATTAGACACATTGTTTTCCTTTTTAATTGCTTAAATCATTTGTTCAAAAGCTCATGGCAGGACTGGGTTCTGAACCCATGTCTTCCAACTCCACATTTCAAACTCTTTCCATACCAAATGATTTTTTTTATTGTAATCTTTGGGAACCCGTAGCGCTTGTCCCTGGGCTACCCTTCCCCACCAGAGTCAGAGATTACCAACCTGAAGGCCTCAAACACCTCCCCGTCTCGGGCCTCGAGACATCGATCTGTAGAGGCAGAACAAACACATTCAGACACCCACCCCAGTTTATTTGCCCAAAAGAAACCAGATGATTCGCCAGGGTTGGATGAAGGGGACAGATTGGGAATATTCTCTCCTCTCAGAAGTCTCTTTTCTGTAAAATGGGAAGTTAGGAAGAGAAAGGCAAATAAATAAACTTACCTTCGTTGGTCAGGTCAACTACGTTTTCTTCAGGAATTCCATATTTTTCACACAGTTGCACAAACTTTTCCTTGACATGTGGGCTTAAATCTTCGTTTCGGCCTGTGGGAAGAGTGGGAGTCCAGTATTTGTTCAAAAGCTCATGGCAGGACTGGGTTCTGAACCCATGTCTTCCAACTCCACATTTCAAACTCTTTCCATACCAAATGATTTTTTTTATTGTAATCTTTGGGAACCCGTAGCGCTTGTCCCTGGGCTACCCTTCCCCACCAGAGTCAGAGATTACCAACCTGAAGGCCTCAAACACCTCCCCGTCTCGGGCCTCGAGACATCGATCTGTAGAGGCAGAACAAACACATTCAGACACCCACCCCAGTTTATTTGCCCAAAAGAAACCAGATGATTCGCCAGGGTTGGATGAAGGGGACAGATTGGGAATATTCTCTCCTCTCAGAAGTCTCTTTTCTGTAAAATGGGAAGTTAGGAAGAGAAAGGCAAATAAATAAACTTACCTTCGTTGGTCAGGTCAACTACGTTTTCTTCAGGAATTCCATATTTTTCACACAGTTGCACAAACTTTTCCTTGACATGTGGGCTTAAATCTTCGTTTCGGCCTGTGGGAAGAGTGGGAGTCCAGTGACATAACCATTACACCATCTGGTGGTCCCGCCAATGAATAGTAACTGCTGTGTCTTGAGTATTTGTTTGTCATAGAGTGAATGAGGTGATGGGGCCCCAGATGGATGGGAGAATGGATAGCACCGATGAGTGCTCGGGCTTGGGTATGGTACATAAACTGTCCCAAATTCGATATCAGTAAGATATTTGCTAGTACTTGAAAGATTTATAATCTTCCTCTCACCAAGGCCAAGGGATTACCAAAGATAAACATCTGTCTTCATAGGGGAAGAGAAGGTCAAGGATAAAACTGGGAAGATCACTTTCTTTCTGGGGTTCTTTCCTTCCTTTCTCCCCAACCCCAAGATGAGTGTCAGCATGAAAATACCAAAGATCTCCAAAATATGGAATGTTCCCTCATAATTTTCATTCACGGTATGGAAAGTAACGTAGCTATCATAGTCAGTATCAACTATGCAAAAGGTATTGAGTCCATTATCTGTGGAGAAAACAGAACACAGAAAAGAACATCTTTGGTTTATGGGAAGCAATGGAAACCACTTACAACAAATTCAAGTGCGTATTCTAGAAGAGAGAGAGAATAAGGACGTCTAGTGCCTTCCATTTGCATCTTCCCGGGCTTTATGAGGCAATCCTAATAGGTTGACAACTATTGATAGCCACATTTAGTCACAGTAACTCCTCCTTTATCATCCTCCCTGACACCTATCCAACTCTCTCAGCACCTCTATTAGTGATGTGTCTCTATCCTCCCTCTAAGCCCCACTGGCATGACAAACCTGATGCTCCATCCTGAGCAACATGCTGTGGCAATGGCCATAGGGCATCATCAGAAAGATGACAAAGGATGAGAATCTGTCCTGCCAATTTACTTGTTTTGTTGTTGCTGTTTGTTTTTTGCCAATTAACTTTTTTTTTGAGAGAGATTTTATTGATATAGAGCACAGGCGCTCACAGGAGAGACAGAGAGACTGAAAGTGAGAAATCGCACCCCAGGGGACTGCAGCATGGCAATCCCCTCACCCCCATTCTCCTCTTGGGATCTTAGGCACGCATGCACATGAACCTGGTCTGAATTTTAAGCCGTTGGGTCCAGGATTCGAACTGCAGTCGACTATGTGGGAGTCCAGTGACATAACCATTACACCATCTGCTGGTCCCGCCAATTAATTTTTATAGCATGAAATTGCCACCTTTATCTGATGGTATTATGTGCTGGACATTGGCTTTTACACATAAGCTTCTCCCAAATTCAGGATATTGGCTATAATATGGCCCCATTATGTTACCCAAATATGCACTGATAAGGAACTGATTGAGATCCTGGAGATATTGGGGTTTAGTAAATTTCTTACAATTAGAAAAATAATTTAGAAAGATTTTTTTAATGAATTTTTTTGTATACTTACAGCCAACACTGAATACGCCATCTTTTTCTGTTGGGTTACAAATCAAATAGTGTCCAGTACACTTTCCATTTGCTCTGTAAAACAGAATCGGTTGATGCCCAAGAGATACCGAGGAGGCTGGCTCCCTTGGCCTCTACTCTAAGCATGACTTGAGTTTCTGATTCTGTTTAACCTCTGGACTTTTCTTGTACAATTACCAAAGAGCTTTGGTATTTACATGATTTCACTTGACTGGATACTTTAACTACTTAAATAACTACTTCTATCATTATTACTACTGATGCTACTTCTCACTTTTACTACCACTACAACTACCTGTCTAGATTAGATTAGTAATCACTAGGTGGTAGTTTCTCAAATAAGTGCTTTATGATTATTACATGATTCGGTGTACACACACACACACACACACACAACCATGAGGGAAAATTATCATCATTCAATTTTTCTCCACAAGAAAATAGAGGTGAAAAAGAGATGAATTTTCTTGGTGACCGAACTAGGTGATTGATTTCAGGTGATTGATTCCAAACTCTGTGCTCTTAACCTATCTTATATAGTCACACTGTTTATGAGTCTTCTATCCCTTTACTGTCTACTTTCCCCATCCTCATTAAATTTATTCCTGTCACTCTTATTTCTGACTCTTGAGAAATCCTGGGTTCATTAATTCCTGGCTCAGTTCCAGATGAAGGATTCTGGTTTTGGGCATAGACTCTGTGTGCATTTTTGTGTGCATGCACTTGTGGGTGCAGTAAGTATGTGTGTGTGTGTGTGTGTGTGTGTGTGTGTGTGTGTAGAGGTCCAAGACCACATATAAGCTTTCATTTTTCATTTCCTAACTTAAAAAGGCCATACTTACTTTGTATGAAATTTAACAGACAAAGAAGAATTCTTCAAAAGATCAATGTGTTCCACGAAAATCCTCATGGGACTATTTTCTCCTATTTTTTCTTTGTTGTCAGAGGCCGTTAAAATGGAATACCAACTCCCTGAAATCTGCAACAAATAAATAAAATGATTGGGTAATAAAAGAGGAGGGGGTATACCACGTAGCCACTTATTTCCTTGAACTCTGGCCTGTGGCCAGGACTTGTAATGTGAAGATGGAACTCCAACTCCGGTAAATTAGCACCATGGGTAGGGCTCTTTCCACTGTCCCTCCAGTGAAAATGGAAATCCCCAAGTACCGTCATATTTTGACATGATACAATCTTCGTCCAAGGTCTGCAAACCACCATTTACATCTAATATATAAAGGAATTTCTGCTCTCTAGTTCCCACCTGGCTTCAGAATCCTCCAGGTCAACCCCCAAAGTCAGAACTTACTTCACTTCATGACCCTACCTTTTCTATATCAAAATTTTGTTTTTCATCATGATCGTGTGTATGGTGGGCACAGACTAGGGTCAGTCCCAAACACAGCAGCAGCAACTTCATCTTATAGAGGATCCTACTCTCTCTTCCACAGTCAATGGGAGTGAGCTCCTGTGCACAGCTCCCTAGATCCTCTGTTTTTATATTCATTCTGGGTCCAGATTTTTTCTATGGGTACCCATTCCTTTTCTCCTCCCCTTCCACGAAATGGTCTTTCATTTACTGGGGTGGGGCCAAGGACTGTTCCTGCCCTTTTGAAACTTGGCAATCTATCTCTTAAAGATCTATTTAGTGACCTTAAGTTTCTCAGAACACATTCTCAAGAAAAACAGTAAATGTTCTAAAGGGCTGCCATTTGGAGTCGATTTAACTGTGGATCTGGCTTAGACTCAGAAAGCCAGTTACGTATGAGGGGTATAACTAGGAAATGAAAGGTGTGATGAAGAATCTGTTCTGCCAGTTACACAATGTGCAGAATTGGGTGAGTTGGTTTTTACAAGCTTCAGAAACAAACTATCTCTACCAAGATGCTAGTACCTACCATGAAGCATTAAAATATGGGCGAATAGAATAATGTCTTTAAGCTATAGTGTTTGGTATCCAGTACACTTGAACTTCTTTTTATTCTCTGGGCCACTGCAGCTTCCTCTCTCCTCACGATGAATGAACATGAATTTAGTCACTGTGTATAAAACAATACCATGGTCCCATAAGAAAAAAGGAAGTGTACAAGATATTATCTATTCCTTCAAGAACCTTTAATGAAATTGTAGCTATGTTTCACATACTTAGCAAAAATTTAATTCTACAAGCATATGAAATAAACCAGCTGAGTGCTACCAAGTCAAAACTATAGTAAAGGGAGTAATGTGAGGGAGGTGACATCATGTAGAAAGTGCTTAAGAGAACAGCTCTGGAGTCGTGTAGATATGGGTTTTGTTTCTATCTTTGCTATCAGAAGCCATGAAGATTTTTTTTTTTGAGAAGTTTTTGCTATAGGGTGTGTGCTTTCACCAGAAAGACGAGAGAGAGAGAGAGAGAGAGAGAGAGAGAGAGAGAGAAATCACCCCTGGAGGTGGGGGATGGCCATGCCACAATCCCTTCTCCCCCATTCTCCTCTCGGGATCTTGGGCACACATGCACGTGCACCTGGCGTGAGTTTAAGCCACTGGGTCCGGGACTCGAACTGTGATCAACTACATGGGAGTTCAGTGACATAGTCATTATGCCAGCTGCTGGTCCCTTACTCCTAGCTTTTAACATATGAAACAACATTTAGATGTACATATCTCTTTCTGTAGATAACTGTGTCCTCATGTTTTACTCTATTATCTGTTTTACTATGTTATGTGCTTTTACTACTCTGTTATCTCTTTCTTCTACTCTGTTATCTACTTCAATTCTCTTATCTCTTTCTTCTCTATTCTTTATTTTACTCTGTAAATTCCTTACCTTTTTCAGTTATCTCCAGCTGGCCTCAAGGAGTGTCCACTTGCCTGACTTTTTGTAGTTCCTCCGTACTCAGACAACACGTTTGGGTGCCACTTGCTGAGACCCGCTCAGCTGAACATGTTTTTCTGAGTCGGAGGAGGGGCTGTGGATTTGAAATAAATGTAAAAACAAACACACAAAGACATACAAGTATAGAAAAGCAAGGATTGGGTAGACCTGACTTATCTGATGGAGATAGCCTCTAGTTTATTATATTATAGCCTTGAACCAGCCTCCAGATTATTATATTATAGGGCAGAAAATGGGGGAAAGGAAATGGAATGCAAAGTCAGTTGGTTTGAGATGTCAATTGGCTGATGATGTGAAAATGACTGGCGCCATTTGGGTTTCTTCTGATTGTCGATGGAAAATAACCAACTCTAAAAAACTAATGATTAATAATTAATGTGGTTTATTTTCAAGCAGAATATGAGTGACCTAGGCCCGGAGAGGAGGCATACATATCTTTCTCTGGGGTGATTAGGTACAGGGGTTCCTTTTATTTGATTTTGAGAGTGACAAAGTTAGTGAAGAAATTCCCATTGGTCTGCCCCAGAAAGGTGGGACATGTGGAAGCGGCAACATGCAGGTTATAGGTGGGTTCCACAATTCCTAGGTTGGTGATTAGAAGAGAAGATCTGTGTCCTGGGAAGAGATTCATAATTCCTAAAAGAAATGCTTAATCTATATCTCAATGAAAGGGAATTTCTGTGTCTTGGGAAAAAATAAGCAAGAGAATATACTGTAATCAGTTAAAATATACATCTCAAAGATACTATGCTAGGGACAGGATGTAGGAAGAATCCTGTTTAATGGAGAAAATGGTCTGTTAATGTTTGTGGGCATGACTCCCCCAGGCCCTCTGGAAAGGACTTTGGAAAAATAGGAAAAAGCAGTCAGACTTCTGTCCACATGATCCTTTTGGGTGAAACCTGAATAACACATATGGCTTCCATAGACAGATACTGCTTTGCAGTATCACTAGTTAGCATATTCATATTTTAATGCTTTCATAACTATGCAAATGAAACTCATGAAATGCATTTCTGCATATGTCTGAAGGTCACCATGTTTGTTCAGAATGGCCGCTCTCCACATGCTCCTGTGTCCAAAATCCCAGGAGAAGAATGGGAGAGAAGAGATTGTGGTGTGGCTGTCCCCATAGGGGATACTTTTTACTTTCCTTCTGTTTCTGTTTCTCTCTGGTGAACACATGCACCTTATGGCAAAAAAAAAAAAAAGAAAAAAAGAAAAAAAAATCTAAAACCAAAACTATGGCTCATTACTGCCTTGTGCTAATGATCTCCTTCTGTTGTCCCCAAAACAAAAAGAGGCTGGTGTTACGGGAGGAGCTAGGTATAAGGAAGTGACCCAGAAGCTGTGGTGTTCTATCTGTGGCCTGCTTTAAAAGTCATTCCATGTCCAGCCGTGGTGGCATAGGTGGTGGGGCACCACTGCACAATGCTGAAGCTATTTAGAGGGACTCTGGGTTCAGGTCTGTAATCCAGATTGGCTGGAAGGTTGGGGAGAAAATTATAAGACCCTGCCCATGGTACACTTCTCTCTAATGTGAAAGACAGAGGGAAGGTAAAAAACAGAGGGAGAGAGAAACTGAAAAAAAAAAAAAAGGAGAAAGAAACCCAGCCTGTGTGATCATTCATAGTCATGTTTCACTTATATGCAATCATTGGTATCAGCCATCATAAAGAACTGAGTTTTCTGGCCCTGAAATGAAACTGATCTTGAAAAATGATGGCAGAGGTTGTATATTTTATTATCTCCAAGAATAGAAGGCAGTCTGTGAGCCATCAGGTTTGCAAAATGAACCCCACTCTTCTTGGGTTTTAATGCTTAGTGGAGAGCCAGCTACCACTGTTGACTATCCCATCCTTATCCCATTCCACACCACTCCTTACTGCACTCTCAGAGCACCATCTTGTAACTTCCTGCTTCTGCTTTTATTCCTTATGAGAAGATAAACTCCCTTCTGAAGGTGGAGATACCTTTTAAATTTTTTTTTCCTCTTTTTTCATTGTTTCCTCCCCCCCTTCTTTTCCTTTTCCTTTTATTTTCTTCATCCTTACTTTCCTACTCTGCTCTTCAGTCTCCACACACTGAGGGTCTAGACAGGCCTAGGTGTACCATAGCCAAGCATCTTAATGCTTTTCGTGTCATTGAAATCCTCAATGCTTATTGAACACCCTGCTTTACGGAAGAAACTTCTATTTATAAACCTGAACTCATAATCTCTTTCTGTGAATACCACATTGCAAAACACAGTAGAGGAGAGATTTTTGCCACAGAACAGCCAGAAACCACCACAGAGTCACAAGAAATATGAGAAGCCAAGAAAATATCTCTCATAACTGACAAGAACATTCCCTCATCATCCACAGACAATACAGTGGAACTCGTGTAAATGTCTGATAGAGAATTCAGAATATTCACAGTGACAAAACTAAATGAGATGGAAGAGTTGAGAGACAATGAACTCCAGAAGATGCAGGAAAAAAGAGACAATGAGTTCCAGGAGGTGAGGAAGTTCTTGCACGATCGGAAAGAGAAGCTATGCACCATGAAAAAATCAAATGGAGCTGTTAGAGATAAAGGCTATAATACAGGAAACCAAACCTCCCTCCAAAGTATTAAAAGCAGATTAGTCTATACAGAAGATCAAATCTCAGATGTTGAAGATAAAACCTTTTACCTGGATAAAACAACAACAACAACAACAACAACAAAGAGAAAATAACTAGAAAAAATGAGAATACTATGTGAGAAATACTAGATACCATTAAGCGCCCAAACATCCAGATAATTGGTATCCCAGAAGGTGAAGAAACTAATAATGGCATTGATAATCTATTCCATGAAATCCTGGAAGAAAACTTCCCAAACCTAGAGAGACACTCAAATATTCAGACTCAGGAAATACAAAGGACTCCACATAGAATCAACCCAAGAAGATCTTCTCAAAGGCACATCATAGATAGATTAACCAAAACCACAGAGACAAGATACTAAAACTGGCAAAAGAGAAACATAAAGTTACTTTCAAAGGATAGCCCTTCATGCTAATGTCAGAACTCTTATCTGAAACAATGCAAGCAAGGAAAGAATGGGAAAATACATTCAAAATGTTAAGTGAAAAACAATTTCAACCAAGAATACTATACCAGCAATATTATCCATGATATGGGAAGGAAAGACAAAAATATTAAAAAAAAAAAAACCCTAAAAGAATTTACCAATACCAGACCAGCCCTCTAAGAAGTTCTGAAGAGAGTGCTATACCGGGAAAACTGAAGTCAGAAACACAGAGATGAGAATACAAAAAACAAAACAAAAAGACAAACTTAATGCTAGGGACAAGAAATGTCAATAAGAATGTTGAATGTTAACTTCCAGGATTTAAACAGAAAGATTGGACCACAGTAACACTGCACATTTAACAGAAGAAAGATTAATTACGTAAGACTGAACTGGTGAAATAGAATTTTGTGACTTTTGAGTAAAACATTACTATCTTTTTCTTTACTTCTTTTTCCTAATTTAAGGATTTTGCTTTCTTT